TTGTGGGGGGGGGGGAACCCGGTTCAAAACTTACCTGATTTGCGGCTCTGGCATTGTAGGTAGCCACCTGGTTTCTTCCTGTCAGCCATGCGTGCTTGTTTGCCTCTGAAGCAAGCTCAGCACCAGGAAGAGGACGTACCATATTCTCGGACAAATCAATGCCGACACACTGGGTGGTATACGGAGCAAGAGCCTATATAGTCACATCAGCATATAGGTTTCCCATACCGGTTGAGTAAAAGGTACCATACCCTCGAAACTACCGTCATCAACACGTGTCAGCCTTGTCCTCTCTGTGTTTTGGATATATGCAGAGACTCACCAAGTCCGGTCCCACAAGCATAATCCAACAACCTCACCTCCCTCACCTCCCTCTTCTCCCTGTTGTCCTCTTTTTTCTCCTCCTCGTCACCGGAGCTCTCCTCGTCAGCCCACTCAACACCAATGAAATCGATCCGCTTCCTGATCTCCTCAACCAGCTTGTCGAGGGTTTTCTCGTGCTTGGAGTCGTAAGAGGATGCTTGTTGACTTCGCTCGAACGTTAGCAACTGGGAACAATGTCTGGGGGAGTGAAGGGTGACGTACTTGAAGTACTCCCTGTTTTGAGTCTCTCCGTGGCCGTGAGCGTGGGAGTGACCATGATCGTGAGAGTGTCCGTGGGAGTGGCCATGATGGGAACCGTGAGTGTGAGGGTGATCGGCCATGTTGAGATGGTGAGAGTTTCGGCTGAGGAAAGCCAGCTGGCTACGTGATCAGCAGGTCGGTGATATGGATGGTTGAACGGTGCTGACGGGCCGATCGTGGTGATGGAGTACAAATATCTGGGAAAGCATGCTCGTTAGCATCTGGATTCCCCCCCATTGATTGATTTCTGGTTAGTGATTCTCATCAGTGATAGTCGTAGAAGCAAGTTGTGGTCCAACCCAGCGAGAGCTTCCTCGTGGCTGTCGAAAGTTCCAACCTTGAATCCAACCTTGAATCCAACCTCAACTCCACAATCCAACACCACATACCTAATCAAATCAGAAAGTGCGAAATCTGATAATGAATATCTCTACACGTCAGGAACTCTTGTGATCTCTTTGTCCTTCCACTCTGGACATATAAATACACACATCTTCCCTCTTCTCCGGAAACATATCGGGCACATATTCACCTCAACCCTCACACGAGCAACTCAAATGACTGTGAATATCTACTCACAATTCAAATACCCCGGCGAGTTTCCCTTACCCTCTCCAACAACTCTGCGACAGCTTGGTTGCTTTCACTCTGTCGTCGTCGTCGTCGTCGTCGTCGTCGTCGTCAACACACTTGGAGGCCAACGCTGATGATGACCAATCTTTCAATGACGGACCTCACTGATGGTCATCAACCCGACCGTTACAAGACTGTATTACGCTGCCCTCAGCGTGAAATTGTGTGTAATGGTAACAAGCCCACTCTTACCCCATTTAGGCAGCGTCTCTGCCTGTGTATCAAGCCGTAAACTGCTCCCTTCCACCAAAATTACACACAGTGCCCTGTATCCGTAAGCCCCCAAGAGTTCCCAACGGCACACGGCAGGAAAAAAAAAAAAAACGCCCCAGCCTATGGAATCGCCCCGACGCTCAAGCCCGCCCAACGGGACGGAGCGGGACGGAGCAGCAAGCACCACCCCCTAAACGCCAAAACCAACCAAGTTGCCTGCCCGCCCGCTCTGCTTGTTTGTACCCAAGCCAGCCAGCCAGCCAGCCAGCCCTCTTCACATCAAAAATGTCCATCATTGACAAAGGGAGGAAGGATGGTATGGTGGTGTGGTGTGGTGTGGTGTGGTGTGATGTGGTGTGTGTGCTGATGGAATGAGCGCAGAAAAGAAAAACCGCCCAGGAAAGAGTCCAGAACATCTCCTCTTGGTATGCCATATACCGTCCACCCAGAGCAAAAGCACCATCGTATGTCCTCAAGACAAGAAAGACATCATGAAATATATTTTTGGGTCCGACAGAGACATTCTTTCATCCCTTTGTTGCCTCGCTTAAGCAACAACACACACACACACACATCAGCTCCCATCGATCAATCATTGTCTGGTTCACTGCACCATAATTTCGTTTTTGCTTGCCCCCCAGATTTCATGTTTTGGTGATCAGAAACAACATCACAACACTCCAAGACAACAGCGAGACAGAAGAAAAAAGACAAGACCTTTCCCACGCCCCCTGCTAGGTCGGTAAATCCACCCCCTCTCCTCTCCAGGAGTCACCACCACCACCACCACCACTACCAACAATAGGATAAACACATAACTCTCGCTAGCGTCCCAGACATCATCCACCACCAAAAACGATCACCTGCATTTCCAAACAAACGACGATCTTTCCCCCTTCCCCTCCTCGCGTCGGTCCGCAACAAGTGTCCCTTGCTTGTTCCAAGAACTTGGAAGAAAGCAAAACGAGCCCTTGCGTGATAAAAAACTGCCGGCCGGTGTGGGGAAGAGAAGACGACAAAAGGGGACGTCACGAAACAAAGCCAATGCAGGCATGAATCCTCCACAGCATCTGATCTTCCCGCGCGCATAAACAATCGAGTAGATCAAACCGTTTAGTTTCTTTCTTGTCCTCACGAGAGGGTGCGGTGACGCACACCCACGCACACCACGCACACCCACGCACACCACGCACACCCCTTTAATCCTGTCTAGACCTCATATGACGACTGCTGCATTGTAATCTAATCCACGGCGTAACAATCTAATATCAGATGGATAAGTCCCCAGGCCGTATAGTTACCAAGTACCAACCTTCGGCTCAGCCCGGGGTTTGGTTCACGGTGGTGGTGGTGCCCGGCGAAACATCAATCTCAGTCCAGACCAGTCTCATAGATTACCTACCCTGTCTTACCACGGATAGCTGCCCCGCGTTTCTCTCTCTCTTTCACCATCTCTCCGCCCATCTTCCTGCCTTGATCAACTGCAAGTTCATATGATAAAAAAAAGCCACCGAACCGAGGCAAATCCCTCACGCGCCGCTGCCTTGCTGCACCTTGGTCACCTTTTGCTGTCGTGCCATGGTGCTTGATGCACAGCCAGGCAAAAACAGACCGGCAAGCGGGCTGCGGCGGGCTTCCTGCAACCTGATGTCGGTAAGCGGGGTTGTGGTGGAAGGGAAGGGCAGGGCCACAAAGCTAAGGAAGCACGCTTCGCGAAGAGGGTGGTGGGCGGTGGTATCAAGAAGGAAAAAGGTGCGAGCCCTCTTCGGACCCTGTGACTGCGTGGAGGGGAGGGAGGGGAGAGAGAAAGCAACCCATCAGATCATCATCATGAGGAGGGGAGCAAAAAGTGACCGTGGCACCGGAGTTTTACCCACCTCCACATGCGTATGCTGTGTGATACTCATCACAACCTGCTCCATCTCTTTGGGCTCCTGAGAACAGTTAGGACACCCATGCTGATGATGTACCTGCTCTCCCTGTGTCTCCCGCCCGTACCCGTCCTCGGGCGGAAGTGTCAGATCTCACTTTTTTTCCAGCCGGGTCACTGCACACTTAGATAATACCCGCTGCACCCAGCACTGGCTGGCGGCACCCTTCCTTGGTGCAACCCCAGTTCCTGCCAACAGGGACGGCTTTCAACGGGCACCCGTCAATGAGGCGTTTATTGGGCCGCAAAACAAGACGAGAAAATGGCCCAGAAAACCGGATTGCCAGACATCACTCGATCGACCCGTGACCCGACGGTTGTTGGACTGGTTGGATGGTTGGCTAGCCGGCTTTGCTGGGGTGCGGGGAAGCTTCAAGACGACATCATGTCTTGATGTAGCCCCTTATGTTGCGGACATATACCGGCAGGCAGCCGACCAGCTTTCGGTGGCCTGCCTGTACCAAGCCGCATCAGAGGAGCGGGACAGGACATGCTTGCTGCGAGTATCCAAACATCATTCGAAATGTTTTTCCGTGGGCGCACAGCACCGAGCCCCGCGCGTTGGGCAACCAGCAGGTCCGAGATTGACTGATGGGGTGAGGGTCCCAAGGTGAGTGAGGTGTGATGCGGTGCCGTGTTGGCAATGGTCGGCCGGTAGGCGATACGGGGGTCCGCCATCCTCACCGCCGTTTGTCCGGATTCGTTTCCAATTGAGTGTTATATTGCGAGCTGACCGGCTCTGTGAGTTGTTTTTTTTTTGGTTCTGCATTGGAAGGGCGTCTCTGTGCCTGTTGCACGAGCGCTGCGTCCGTCTGTTTGCCCACACTGCCCGCATCGGCATCGGAGGGAGCAGGGGACTGCAACATCACCACAAAACACACTAGATTTATCGGTTTTCCTCTCGGGCCACGCAGGCAGTGAGGGAGGTGGTCATATCCGGGCCGGCGTCAAGATGGAGGCGCAATCGGCTTCGTTAGAGGTGATGACTGAAACGAATCTCACATTAGCCTGGTGGACAAGCAGAGGGAGGATCTCTCCGACAGGTTTCCAACCACCTGAACCGTGACCGAAGTGCGTGGGTTGATATATGGAGCCTGCCAACGCATTGCTGCAAAATCCCAACCTTATCCCTACAAAAGCCTGGCCGGCGTTTCGAAAAAACATGGGACGGCAGCATAAGACCCCTCTTCGACCGGCCTGTCAGATCCAAACAAGTCCTGCCGCGCGGGAGACTGGAGGTTCGGCGAAGGGCGCTGCCGGATGACCAGATTGAGAGAAACCTGCGTCCGAGCTATCACCTCTCGCAAAGTGACCTGTGCCACCGCAAGGTACCTGTATGCACACAGTGGTCTCCTGGCGGCTGTGTGAGTCGGATGACATCGGTTGTGTGAAGCTCGTGTGCTCCCCCAACCCCTGGTGAGGAAGAGCTCTGGAGAGCTGCGGTCGTGGTGAGGCGGCCTGAAAAGGTTGGTTGCACAGGACCATCTGCACCATCAGCAGTGTTTATCCAGCCAGGAAGTCACCTCGACTGGGTGCCTCTGTGCCACCACAGGGCATATCGCCGCAGCAGTTGCTGCAGGGCTCGCGCAGCAGCAGGTGGCAGGTATCGTAACAAACCCTCGGCCGCTCGAAGGAGGCTGGCTGAAGTTTACACTTACACTGTGACAAGAACCGAGTCTAGCGAGATCGGCCAGCCGGCAGTCAAGGGTGAGGGGGAGCAAGAGGCCAAGGGTCGTGTGAACTTCCTGATGCTGATCGATTCCAACAAAAGCGGTCAGGAAATTCCCGCTCAGCCCTACACCTGGATTCGATGTTGGGTCTGGTCAAGGTGTCGACAGCCCGACGATTACCCCCCAACTCCGACCACTTCGGCTTGTTGGGCGACAGTTGCCAGTGTGCCAGTGGCTTTCTCCTCTCCGTCAGCGGGACAGCAGAACTGCAGGAATGAGGCAATGACAGACATGGCACCCGGGAAGCGCGGAACGGGAAGGTACAGTTCGCGGCCCTCAGTGTAACATGATTTCTACAGGGCCCCCTGGATGCCCTGTCTCCCTTTGTTCGACAGCCCTGTAGGCCTGGAGGGGCCTTTTCACCGCGATTGTGCCGCCGCATGTAAAGATGTCACGTATTGAGGGCGATTTGGGGGTGCGGTGTGCTGTGGTGTGCGGCCTCGGTGAGGTGGGGGGCATTAGCTCATGTAGGGGAGTGTGCTGGTGAAGGGGTTTGATTCGGATACATGTTGCTGCATCGTCTCTCGTTGGGTTCCTTCG